GCTCATTCTAATAGTTTTTTTGTTTGTTTGTTTGGTTTGGTTTGTAGATTTCTTTGGATATTTTGGATAGACAGTCGTGTTATCTAGGAATAAAGATGATCTATATTTCTTATCTGGATTCCACTTATTTATTTAGTTATGTATGTTTTCACTCAATTCAGTCACACTCACCAACATCTCCAGTATAATGTTGAATAGAAGTGGTGGGAGTGGACATCTTTTCCTTGGTCCTGGTCTTAGGAGGAAAGTACATTCTTTCACCAGCAAACATACTGTTGGATATAGTTACCTGTAAATTTCCTAGTTTACTGAGTTTTTTAAAGGTTGGTTGTTGATTTTTTTGTGTGGCTGTTTTGGATCTTTGTTCTTTTATTCCAGTTGCAGTGAGCAAGGGCTGTTCTCTCGGTGCAGTGTGTGGGCGTCCATTGCAGTGGCTTCTTTTGTTGCAGATCACGGGCTCTAGGGCATGCAGGCTTCTGTATTTGCACTCCCAGACTCTGGAGCGCAGGCTCCGTAGCTGTGGCATACAGGCGTTGTTGCTCCTTGGCGTGTGGGATCCTTCTGGGTAAGGTATTGAACCCGTGTCTGCTGTGTTGGCAGATGGATTCCTTATCACTGAGCCACCAGGGAAGCCCCTGGGTGTTGGGTTTTATCAAGTGCTTTTTCTGTCTCTTTTGAGATGATCATGTGGTGTTTTTTCAGTTAGGGTGAATTACTTTGATGTATGAATTTTTATTCAGCCTTACATTCCTGGGACAAATGTCACTTGGTCATGATGTACTGTCTTTTTAATATATTGTTGAGTTAGATTTCCTAAAATATTGAGAATTTTTGTATCTATACTCATGAGGGTTATTATATTGTAGTCTTTTTGTAATTATCCTTTTTTTTTTCAATCAGGTGATGCTGGTCTTAAGGAATGGGTTGCAAATTAGTCCCTTTTAATTTCCTGAAAGAGTTTATATAAAATTGTTATTTCTTTAAATGTTTAGTAGAATTCCCCAGTGAAGCCTTTTGGTTCTGGAACTTTGTTGTTGAAAGGTTTTCAACTACAAATTCAATTTAAAGATCGTGTATAAGTTTCTTTAGGTTATTTATTTATGCTTGAGTGAGCTCTGGTTATTTGTGTTTCTCCAGGAATGTGTCCCATTTAATCTAAGGCGTCAAATTTAAGATGTTCTCTTTCATTGGTTTGAAGAAATTTTATATCCCTTGGAGTAGTTTTCTCTGTGTTGTCAGTGTGTGTGATTTGTTAAACTTCTTGATTTGCAAGTTTACAATTTTCATCAAATTTGGAAAATAGTCAGTCAGTCAGTTCAGTCGCTCAGTCGTGTCCGACTCTTTGCGACCCCATGGACTGCAGCTCACCAGGCCGGCCTGTCCATCAGCAACTCCTGAAATTTACTCAAACTCATGTTGATTGAGTTGGTGATGCCATCCAACCGTCTCATCCTCTGTCCTCCCTTTCTCCTCCCACCTTCAATCTTTCCCAGCATCAGGGTCTTTTCAAATGAGTCAGCTCTTTGCATGAGGTGGCCAAAGTATTGGAGTTTCAGCTTCAGCATCAGTCCTTCCAATGAACACCCAGGACTGATCTCCTTTAGCATGGACTGGTTGAATCTCCTTTTAGTCCAAGGGACTCTCAAGAGTCTTCTCCAACACCACAGTTCAAAGGCACCAATTCTTCAGCGCTCAGCTTTCTTTATAGTCCAACTCTCACATCCAGATGTGACTACTGGAAAAACCATAGCCTTGACTACACAAATGTTTGTTGGCAAAGTAATGTCTCTGCTTTTTAATATACTGCCTAGGTTGGTCATAACTTTTCTTCCATGGAGCAAGCATCTTTTAATTTCATGGCTGCTGTCATGATCTGCAGTGATTTTTGGAGCCCCCCAAAATAAAGTCTGTCGCCATTTCCACTCTTTCCCCATCTATTTGCCATGAAGTGATGGGACCGGATGCCATGATCTTAGATTTCTGAATGTTGAGTTTTAAGCCAACTTTTTCACTCTCCTCTCACTTTCATCAAGAGACTCTTTAGTTCTTCTTTACTTCCTGCCATAAGGGTGGTGTCATCTGTATATCTGAGGTTATTGATATTTCTCCCAGAAATCTTGAATCCAGCTTGTGCTTCCTCCAGCCCAGCGTTTCTCATGATGTACTCTGCATACAAGTTAAATAAGCAGGGTGACAATGTACAGCCTTGACGTACTCCTTTTCCTATTTGGAACCAGTCTGTTGTTCCATGTCCAGTTCTAACTGTTGCTTCCTGACCTGCATACAGATTTCTCAGGAGGCAGGTCAGATGGTCTGGTATTCCCATCTCTCTAAGAATTTCCCACCGTTTGTTGTGATCCACACAGTCAAAGGCTTTGGCATAGTCAATAAAGCAGAAATAGATGTTTTTCTGGAACTCTCTTGCTTTTTCGATGATCCAACGGATGTTGGCAATTTGATCTCTGGTTCCTCTGCCTTTTCTAAAACCAGCTTGAACATCTGGAAGTTCATGGTTCATGTATTGCTGAAGCCTGGCTTGGAAAACTTTGAGCATTACTTTATTAGCATGTGAGATGAGTGCAATTGTGTTGTAGTTTGAGCATTCTTTGGCATTGCCTTTCTTTGAGATTGGAATGAAAACTGACCTTTTCCAGTCCTGTCTCCACTGCTGAGTTTTCCAAATTTGCTGACATATTGTGTGCAGCACTTTCACAGCATCATCTTTCAGGATTTGAAATAGCTCAGCTGGAATTCCATCACCTCCACTAGCTTTGTTCATAGTGATGCTTCCTAAGGCCCACTTGACTTCACATTCCAGGATGTCTGGCTCTAGGTGAGTGATCACACCATTATGATTTTCTGGGTCATGAAGATCTTTTTTGCATAGTTCTTCTGTGTATTCTTGCCACCTCTTGTTAATATCTTCTGCTTCTGTTAGGTCCATACCATTTCTGTCCTTTATTGAGCCCATTTTTGCATGAAATGTTCCCTTGGTATCTCTAATTTTCTTGAAGAGATCTCTAGTCTTTCCCATTTTATTGTTTTCCTCTGTTTCTTTGATTGATCAGTGAGGAAGGCTTTCTTATCTCTCCTTGCTATTCTTTGGAACTCTGCATTCAAATGGGTACATCTTTCCTTTTCCCCTTTGCTTTTCTCTTCCCTTTTTTTCTCAGCTATTTGTAAGGCCTCTTCAGACAGTCATTTTGCTCTTTTGCATTTCTTTTTTGGGGATGATCTTGATTCTTGTCTCCTGTACAGTGTCACAACCTCCGTCCATAGTTCATCAGGCAATCTGTCTATCAGATCTAGTCCCTTAAATCTATTTCTCACTTCCACTGTATAGTTATAAGGGATTTGATTTAGGTCATACCTGAATGGTCTAGTGGTTTTCTCCACTTTCTTCAATTTCAATCTGAATTTGTCAATAAGGTGTTCATGTTCTGAGCTACAGTCAGCTCCCAGTCTTGTTTTCACTGACTGTATAGAGCTTCTCCATCTTTGGCTGCAAAGAATATAATCAATCTGATTTCGATGTTGACCATCTGGTGATGTCCATATGTAGAGTCTTCTCTTGTGTTGTTGGAAGAGGGCGTTTGCTATGACCAGTGCGTTCTCTTGGCAGAACTCTATTAGCCTTTGCCCTGCTTCATTCCATACTCCAAGGCCAAATTTACCTGTTACTCCAGGTGTTTCATAACTTCCTACTTTTGCATTCCAGTCCCCTATAATGAAAAGGACATCTTTTTTGGATGTTAGTTCTAGAAGGTCTTGTAGGTCTTCATAGAACTGTTGAGCTTCTTCAGCGTTACTGGTTGGGGCATAGACTTGGATTACCGTGATATTGAATGGCTTGCCTTGGAAATGAAGAGATAATTCTGTCATTTTTGAGATTACATCCAAGTATTGCATTTTGGACTCTTTTCTTGACCGTGATGGCTAATCCATTTCTTCTAAGGGATTCCTGCCCACAGTAGTAGATATAATGGTCATCTGAGTTAAATTCACCCATTCTAGTCCATCTTAGTTCGTGGATTTGAACTAAGAATGTCGATGTTCACCCTTGTCATCCTCTGTTTGAGCACTTCCAATTAGCCTTGATTCATGGACCTAACATTACAGGTTCCTATGCAATATTGCTCTTTATAGCATCAAACCTTGCTTCTATCACCAGTCCCATCCACAACTGGGTGGTGGTTTTGCTTTGGCTCCATCCCTTCATTCTTTCTGGAGTTATTTCTCCACTGATCTCCAGTAGCATATGGGGCACCTACCAACCTGGGGAGTTCATCTTTCAGTGTCCTATCTTTTTGCCTTTTCATACTGTTCATCGGGTTCTCATGGCAAGGATACTGAAGTGGTTTGCCATTCTCTTCTCCAGTGGACCACATTCTGTCATTATTCCATTTAATACTCTTTGATCTGGTTACTGACAATTGCTGAAACTTTCCCTGGTGGCTCAGCTGGTAAAGAATCTGCCTGCAATGTGGGAGACCTAGGTTCAATCCCTGGGTTGGGAAGATTCCCCTGAAGAATGGAACGGCTACCGATTCCAGTATTCTGGCCTGGAGAATTCTATGGGCTGTGTACAGTCCATGGAGTTGCAAAGAGCTGGACATGACTGAGTGACATTCACTTTCTTACTTTCAGCCCTGTTTTTGTTTAATCTATTTCTTATTCCCCAAATAATTTAGCTGTTAAAATAAAAATAGACTTCTTTCAACTAAAATTAAAAAAATGAAAAGAAGAAAAAAGTCCAGATTTGTTGGAGATTGGAAGTACATGTTGCTGAGTTAAAAAAAGTTAGTAAAACCTCTTTGGTTTTTGTTGTTAAAAGGAATTGCTGCATGAGTGGTGAGTAGATACCCAAGGTAATTTGGTTGGAGATGTGATGAAGGAAGAACAACTTTTCAATGTGTTATATTTCCAGTATGGTAATAAATATTTTGCTGGGATTATTTATAGTTTATATTTTGTGTTCCAGATAATCAAGTAAAATAAAGATGAGCTTCATCTGTGGACTGCAGTCTGCTGCTAGAAACTGTTTTTTCTTCCGATTTAATTTACTGACCAGTTGGAGAAAATGTAACATACAAGCTGTAACCTCACAGGGCTTTCATCAAGTGAAAATTAACCATATAGAAAATAAATCTCCGGGCCTGGGAGTAAATCACATTGATAGATGGACTCCTCTGCCTGAAAACTTTCTCTTCTATAGGACTTTTAATACCAAAAGAAAAGACTTCCTTTTGAGCACCAGAAGTAAGGAAATTTGGATGATTAGCCGAAAATATACTGCATGGACTGACTCTTTTTCAAGACAGCTACTGATGAAAGACGTTCCCATAGTTCCTGCTCATTCGCTGTTGCATCCCCTGAACTGTTTACCTGCAAGAGACGTCAGGAGTTTCCACACTTCTCCACGGTGCCGAGCTACTCCTGTTCCTCTGTTGTTGATGATTCTTAAGCCAGTGCAGAAGCTGCTTGCAATCATTGTGGGCAGGTAAAATGCTTTTTAAAATGTAAGCTTTTATATTAAAAGTTTGTAAAACTGTACTTTTAAAGAAAAATTGGTAGATTTCCCTCCCATGATTAGCTCGGAAGTTCAGTTTCTAAATAGTTGGTATATGTATGTATATTTGCCTTAATAATCTTGAAATCATTTGCCTCATATATAATACAGAAATGTTATCTGTAAAAATTATTCTTATATATCTTATCTAGACACTATTTTAAAGATCTTATAATTACAAAAATCAGAAATGTTTGTTATAGTTCATGTGTAGGAACCGTACTAACAAACATTCCTTTTTAGTTCATGAAATTTGAGGCATTGAATCATGAAACTGAAAAACTTGGCTCTTTTAAGAAAGAACTCCTAGCCAAATTAACTCTTAATTGTATTTGTTTATTTTTCTATTCTATTTCCAACAAATCTTTATTTTCTCTTGGTGATCCTTTATAGCACTTAATGTTTTTAAAGCTAAGTAATACTTCATATTTAACTTAAAACTCTTCCCTCATAATTAATCTTGTTTTCTCTTATTTGCTCCATGAAGATTGAAGAAAGGTAAAGTTAAGCATTGTCTCCCTATAAAGTTATTTTATATTTGATAACTATGAAGTGCCTTCTAGCCTTTTTACTTCCATAATAATCAACCGAGTTTTCTTTTTATCCAAAATTGAGAACTTGTACTCTAATTTATTGTGTTCTTTATGACTAGGCTTTGGCACTCAGAAAATATACAGTTAATTTAGCTCTCAATTTAAGTATGACTTCAAAGAAAGCCAGAGCTAGGCAGTAGTCAAAGAAGTAAAAGCAGTTTGTATTCAGAACTTTTGCAATAGGAGAAAAGAGACCTCAGTATAGAACCAGAGTCAGTTCTGAATACACCATGGGCTGTGCAGGTGGTGTGGGGCTTGGTAGATGGAAAGCTACAGGGAGGAAACATCAGGAGCCAGGCGAGATTCTACTCAATCTGATCTACCAGAGTTACTGCCGAAGACAGGTGGAGTGATCAGACACTACCCAACCATGGTGCCTATCCGTGGCCTGTTTAGAAACGCAGTTGCATAGCAGGAGGTGAGCAGGGGCGAACAAGCGAAGCTTCATCTGTATTTAACAGCTGTTCCCCATCGCTTGCGTTACTGCCTGAGCTTTGCCTCTTATCGGATCAGCAGCAGGATTAGATTCTCATAGGAGCATGAACGCTACTGTGAACTGGGCATGTGAGGGATCTAGTTTGTGTGTTCCTTATGAGAATCATCCCCAAACCATTCCCTCACCACCACCCCAGGTCCATGGAAAAGTTGTCTTCTGCAAAACCAGTCCCTGGTGCCAGAGGGTTGGGGACCACTGACCTGGGGGATGATGAATGATAAATAACAGGTTAGATATCACAAGTGAACATATATGGAGGATGAGAGATTCTGACTTAACTGACCAGTGCAGAGATGAACACAGGAGTCCCGAAGTCAAAACGTTCATGGGAGTCTAAGTAGAGTTTGGTCCAGGAGAGAATCTTTGTCACAACTCAGCCTAGGTTCTTGGGCTGATAGATCTTTTTCCTTCTTTTAAATTATTTGTTTATTTTTAACTTTTTGTTATTACTGTTATAAATCACCTAAAATTTTGTTTTAGGTTATGTTTTCATACATTTTAAATAATAGTGTCATAAATTTTTAAATTGGAAATAAGTATACTTCATAGCTTGATCTAAGTCTTTTTAAGGTTGAAACACTTTAAGGGCCTTTTAGGTATATCACTTAGCAGGACTAAAATAACTTAAAGAAGTTGTTTTATAAAATAAATTTTGTCCAGAGAATGATGTATATATTTTAAATATTTGTTGTAATTTCACAGATGAACTCATGGGGGAAGTTTTTTGTTCAGGTACTGAAAACATCATTGTTGTTTTAGTTGCTAAGTCGTGTCCAACTCTGCGACCCTGTGGATTGTTGCCTGCCAGGCCATTATGTCCACGGGATTTCCCAGGCAAGAATACTGGAGTGGGTTGCCATTTCCTTCTCCAGGGGATCTTCCAAAACCAGGGATTGAATCTGGGTCTCCTGCTTTGGCAGGCAGATTCTTTACCACTGAGCCACGTGGGAAGCCACTGAAGACATTACTGGTTGTCAGAATGTCTGTGAATCCTAGAAGCAGCAGAGAGTATTGTTGCCTGGTAGGGTTGGACCTCCCCTGATGTTATCCATAAAATCTCTGATTTCTGTGTGTACAGTGCCTGTGCTCTTATTACACCTCTCATTTGTTGTGTTCTCTGGAGCTTAGTGGAGTTTCTGCTACTGAGCAATATTTGTTTCCAAAATCAGTCCTGAGATAGTTTCTCTTGCATCTGACTGAAGTACTGGCAGATTGTGCCAGATGTCTGACATCTGATGAGCAGTGGGGGGAGTTGTGGTTAAAGGTGAAGATTTATTGTACCATAAGCCTTCAGTTGTTTATTTGGGCAATTCATCTCTATTATCACATTGCCTTCCTTCCTAATTCTCCTCTTATTAACTCTGTGACCTTGGATAAGTTGTTTAACTTCTCTATGCCTCAATTTTCTCTTCTGTAACAGGGTTATTATGAAGATTAAATGAGATGACATGCGTATAGCAATTAGAAGAGTACCTTGAATGGGCTAAATAGTCAATGTGAACTAATGGTAGTTATAGTAAAACAGCTTCTCACTTAGCTCGTTTAAAATAACTGAAGAAGAAAATTCAAATGAGCATTAGAATTTTTAACTACAGCTCTGTATAATTGATTGCTTTTTTATCATTTGGCTGAGAATTTTACAAACTGGAAAAATCCCATCTATACAGAGAAATATAAAAATTCAAGCCTTTGATGACAAAATATTAGCATAAACATTAAGTTTTGGTGTTATGTACTGATTTTGTTATCAGAACTTTGAATTTTTCTTTTTGCTCTAGGGGCATAAGAAAATGGTGGCAGGCACTTCCTCCTAACAAGAAGGAACTATTTAAAGAAAGTTTAAGGAAGAATAAATGGAAGCTCTTCCTTGGCTTGAGTAGTTTTGGATTGCTTTTTGTAGTGTTTTATTTTACACATCTGGAAGTGAGTCCAGTCACAGGAAGGAGCAAGCTACTGTTATTGGGGAAAGAACATTTCAGACTTTTATCAGAACTGGAATATGAAGCAGTAAGTAGAAAGACTCATTGTTTAACTAGATTGCTTGATATAATATTTAAAGCAGGAAAGTTTCTTAAGCATGAACAATGCACTACTTTTTAATTTTAATCTCTGATGGGGAATTAGCCTTTTTTCCAAAAAGTCTCAGACCTTTCATGCTTTGTATTCCTGCCATCTACATCGCCTTTCCTCACAATCACCCAGCCAGCTCCTGCTCGTCACATGTCACCTTAAATGTCACTTTCTCAGGAAAGCCTTCCTTGATTATCCTGACTGGGTTAAGCAGTGAGGCTGTGTTAGACCCTAGGGGGTATCCTTCATAACAACACAGATTACATTATGAATCAGTTATTTGTAGCTTGATCACTACTTGGCTATATTGGGGCTAGGTATCCTACTTTTATTTTCTCTTTGCATACTGTACTTTCCTTTTAAAAACACTTGTCATGAGGGTAGAAGCATCATAATTATTTGCATAATTATCTATTTGCTGATATGTCTCCCTTGCTAGACTAACTCCACGGGGTCAAAGAGCCTGTTTGTTCTGTTTATCATTTTATTTTAAGTACTGGCACAGTGTACAAAGTAGTGCTTACTATGTATTTTTTTAAATAAATAGATCTGTAATTTGAATTTTTGTATCTTGAAAATTTAGAATAACATAGTTCCCCACCCCCTAAACATCAATTTGGGCAGTTTATTATGTATATATTTTCTTTTTCATTAAAAAAAAATTGTATTCATATATTGGCTTCCCTGGGCCTTCATTGCTGCATGAGGGCGTCCTCTAGTTGCAGTAGGTGGGAGCTGTGTTCTCGTTGTAGTGCGCAAGCTTCTCATTGAGGTGGCTTCTCTTGCTGTGGAGCGTGGGCTGTGGGTGCACAGGCTTCAGTGGTTGCTGTGTGGGCTCAATAGTTGCAGCTCCTGGGCTCTAGAGCACAGGCTTCAGGAGTTGTGGCCATGAGCTTAGTTGCTTTGTAGTGTGTGGAATCTTTCCCGACCAGGGATCGAACCCATGTCCCCTGCATTGGCAGACAGACTCTCAACCACTGGGCCACCAGGTTGCCACAGTTTATTATGTACTTTAAATTAATTTTTTTAAGTTATATTTTTTGAAAACAAAATAAAGTTGGATTTCAGAAGCCTTAACTCCTTGGAAAGTATAGTAACTCAAGGAAGCATCTTACACCCCTAGTGAATTCCTTGAGGGTAGATCATCTTTCTGTCCCTCATGCTTAGCACACATATGGTATGCAAACTTTATTTTATTGTTATTTGCTTTATTGCACTTTGCAGATACTGACTTTTTAAACTTTGGAAGTTTATGGCAACCTTGTGTCAAGCAAGTCTGTCCGCTCCATTTCTGCAGCAGCATTTGCTCACTTCCTATTTGTGTCACTTTTCACTGATGCAGTATTTTGAGTCTTTTCATTATTATTTGTTAGGCAAAAGAGATTATGAGTCTCTCAAGGCCTAGATGATGCTTAGCTTTTTTTTTAAGCTATAAAGTGTTCTTTAAGGTGTGTACATTGTTTTTTTTTTAGACATAATGCTATTGCACACAATAAACACTGGGAAACCAAGAATTCTTGTGACTCGCTTTATTGAGATATGCACTTTGTGGTGAATATCTCAGTAAAGATATTGAGAACTGGAACTGAACCCACAATATCTCCAATGTGTGCTATATATGCTAAATTAATATTTGTTGAATTTATAGCGTCACTTGACAACTTTTCTGTGGCTAGATTTTTATATATCAAAAATATTTCTGTATTTTTATAATCTTGAACTTCTGAGTTTGTCAGTGGAAAGTTACCGTAAAAAAGAAATAACAGATTTTTCACTAAAAAGATTGTTCGATTGTTCTTAATAAAGATAAGACCAATCTCTTCCATACAGGTTATACAGAGATTTGAGATGTTTCTTAGAATATTCTAATCAGAAGCAAGTTTGAGAAAAGTGTTTTGTTAAGATTGAGAAAGGCCTAGTGTTAAATTAGTGTATGTTCTACCATTTATATCACTAGTTTAAAAAAAATTACATACATGTATGTATATTTTTTCCTTATTTTTAGCCTATGCATGTAATACCCGCTTGATATGAAAATCCAAGCACATGTTCTTATGGGATTATTATAAAGTACCATAATTACATATAATCTTGTATCTACTTCAGTAGTGTTCTTTTAGACAATTTACACTGGTGACTTGTGCTTTTAGAAAATACTATATAAAGATTTTAAAATTCATATTCTGTAAAATCATGTTTTTAATGCATTATCAAGGTTACAGACTTCTTAATTCATATATGCAAGAAATTACACATTTTATGGGAATTTAGTAGTTTTAGAACATCCTTAATTTTCAAATGGCTGTCTGAGGAACCTTGCAAATAGCTGAGGAAAGAAGAAAAGTGAAAGACAAGGGAGAAAGGGAAAGATATACCATCTGAATGCAGAGTTCCAAAGAGTAGCAATGAGAGATAAGAAAGCCTTCCTCAGTGATCAGTGCAGAGAAATAGAGGAAAACAACAGAATGGGAAAGACTAGAGATCTCTTCAAGAAAATTAGAGATACCAAGGGAACATTTCATGCAAAGATGGGCTCAATAAAGGACAAAAATAGTATGGACCTAACAGAAGCAGAAGATATTAAGAAGAGGTGGCAAGAATACACAGAAGAACTATGCAAAAAAGATCTTCATGACCCAGGTAACCACGATGGTATGATCAGTCAGCTAGAGCCAGACATACTGGAGTCTGAGGTCAAGTGGGTGTTAGGAAGCATCACTACGAACAAAGCTAGTGGAGGTGATGGAATTCCAGCTGAGCTATTTCAAATCCTAAAAGATGATGCTGTGAAAGTTCTGCACTCAATATGCCAGCAAATTTGGAAAACTCAGCAGTGGACACAGTACTGGAAAAGGTCAGTTTTTATTCTAATCCAAAAGAAAGGCAATACCAAAGGATGGTCAAACTACTACACAATTGCACTATTTCACATGTTAGTGAAGTAATGCTCAAAATTCTCCAAGGCAGGCTTCAGCAGTCCGTGAACCAAGAACTTCTAGATGTTTAAGCTGGATTTAGAAAAGGCAGAGGAACCAGAGATCAAATTGCCAACATCCGTTGGATCATCGAAAAAGCAAGAGTTCCAGAAAAACATCTGCTTCATTGACTACTCTAAAGCCTTTGACTGTTTGTGAATCACAACAAACTGTGGAAAATCCTGAAAGAGGTGGGGATGCCAGACCACCTTACCTAAGCCTCCTGGGAAATCTGTATGCAGGTCAAGAAGCAATAGTTAGAACCAGACATGGAAAAGCAGACTGGTTCCAAATTGGGAAAGGAGTTTGTCAAGGCTGTATATTGTCACCTGGCTTATTTAACTTCTATGCAGAGTACATCATGAGAAATTCTGGACTAGATGAAACACAAGCTGAAATCCAGATTGCTGGGAGAAATATCAGTTAACTTAAGATATGCAGATGATACCACCCTTATGGCAGAAAGCAAAGAGGAACTAAAGAGTTTCTTGATGAAAGTGATAGAAGAGAGTGAAAAAGCCGACTTGAAACTCAACATTTAAAAAACTATGATCATGGCATCCAGTCCCATCACTTCATGGCAAATAGATGGGGAAACAATGGAAACAGTGACAGACTTTATTTTCTTGGGCTCTAAAATCACTGCAGATGGTGACTGCAGCCATGAAATTAAAAGACACCTGCTCCTTAGAAGAAAAGCTATGACCAACCTAGACAGCATATTAAAAAGCAGAGACATCACTTTGCTGACTAAGGTCCATATAGTCAAAGCTATGAATTTTCCAGTAGCTGTGTATGGATGTGAGAGTTGGACCATAAAGAAAGCTAAGTGCCAAAGAACTGATGCTTTTGAACTGTGGCGTTGGAGAAGACTCTTGAGACTCCCTTGGACTGCAAAGAGAGCAGAACAGTCACTCCTAAAGGAAATCAATCCTGAGTATTCATTTGAATGGGCTTCCCTGGTGGCTCAGAGGTTAAATCGTCTGCCTCATTGGAAGGACTAATGCTGAAGCTGAAGCTCCAATACTTTGGTTACCTGATGCAAAGAGCCGACTCACTGGAAACGACCTGATGCTGGGAAAGATGGAAGGCAGGAGGAAAAGGGGACTACAGAGGATGAGATGGTTGGATGGTAGCACCGACTCAATGGACATGATTTTGAGCAAGCTTCAGGAGATTGTGAAGGACAGGGAAGCCTGGTATGCTGCAGTTTGTGGGGTAACAGAGTCAGAGATGACTGAGCGACTGGAAGAGCAAAATTTTTCAAAGTATACTTGAAAGAGTCTTTCATGAACATAGCTTCAGAAAAGATGTCTTTGTATGGTGGCTAGTCTTAATCAACACAGTAAAAAGAAAATGATATGCTCATTAGTTCTACAGTTTCAGTAATTTCCTTTCAGTCTGTGTGAATAAGACACTTGAAAATTAATGAAATGTTGTACTTTTTCTGGTAGAAGTTTAGCTTTCTTATTAAGCATAGGGTGTTTTTCTATTCAGTATGTTATGAAAGTTTTTATTAATTTTTATTGGTATATAAATATTTGCTTTACAGTGTTGTGTTAATTTCTGCTATACAGTTATTTCTTTTGTATTTTGCTTTCTTATATAAACTGTTATGTTCTCTAGGAAATGTTTTCTAAAATATTTAGGAAAGTTGAAATAATATTTAAGCATTTTATTTGTTTATAAGCTTAATAGAAAAGATGAATGAAATTTTTATTTCAACCAATTTATAGGAAAAATCTTAGGTTATTAGAATTTACTCCATTTGTGAGAAGCCAAATTTTTGCCTTTGCATAAATAATTCAAATTTGAAAAAAATGAGTATTTAATATATGCAGATTTTTCCATAATTAAAAATTAAAGTATTCAACAACATAGTGCCATATAAATCACTCCTTACACTTGATCTTAGCCAAAAGGCCGAGAAGTGATAAATCACTCCTTAAAGCAGTATAAAGGCTTCCCTGGTGGCTCAGTGGTAAAGAATCCACCTGCCATTGCAGGAGATGAGGGTTCCATCTCTGGGTTGAAAAGACCTCCTGGAGGAGGAAATGACAGCCCGCTCCAGTGTTTTTGCCTGGAAAATCCTATGGACGGAGGAGCCTGGTGGGTTACAATCCATGGGGTCGCCAAGAATCAGACACAACTTAGTGACTAAACAACAACAATAAAAGCAATATAAACATTTTGTGGAACTAACACTCTCTTAGAGGCTACTTTTTAATCTTTCAGTGGATGGAAGAATTTAAAAATGATATGCTAACTGAGAAAGATGCGCGATATGTGGCTGTTAAAGCAGTGGTTCATCATTTAATTGAATGCAATCAAGATATTCCAGGGATTTCTGAGATCAATTGGATTATTCATGTGGTTGATTCCCCAGATATAAATGCCTTTGTACTTCCAGTAAGTAAATATTGTCCAGTCTAATTTCTAATTTTTAATTGTTAAATATAATGTCCTTTTTTTTTAATGGTGTTCTCATTGCTTACATTATTTTCATTATGGTGCAGAATGGACAAGTGTTCATCTTCACTGGACTTTTAAATAGTGTGACTGATATTCATCAGCTTTCTTTCCTTCTGGGCCATGAAATAGCACATGCAGTGCTTGAGCATGCTGTAAGTATCTAAAATGAATGTTCAGTTATTGAAATACTCCTTTGAAGTTAACAAGTTAAATCTTTTAGAGAACTGAATCTTTTCAGTTTTTTTAAATTGATGGAATTTTAGTTTTTAGTAATTGACTTATTCTGTTGCCTGAAAAAGTATGATTGGCTAATTTTGAGAATTTCTATGGTCTTTAGTATTTGATTCTGAATAATTAGTGTTTCTCTTAAATACTGTTTTTATCACCTATCTTTTTTGGTAAGACGTAATTATTCTCAACCTCTAATTATTTCAAATTAGATATTAAACTTTCCATAATTATTAACATACTTATAATCTAGTCAGAAAATTAACTGTAGGAAAGTGATATTACTATCTAAGTGGTAAATCAGTTTTCTTGCTTTTTTTATTCAGTCTCAGAGAATAACTTAGTGCATCTTGGAAAATGTATAGAATGATATGCTGTATATAATGAATGCAGAGTAATAATAATGATACCTTGCCATTTTACAGTTTACTGAGCTTTTTAATATATACTTTCTCATTAATAATTTTAATATTGTCCTCATGAGGTAGGTATTTAATATCCTTAGGTTATATACAAGGACACTAATGTTTAAAAAGACCTTAAATACTAATACTAATTATTAATTAAATACTAATCTGACAGACTGGCAGAATTTGAACTTTAATCAAGGCTTTCTGTTTGCAAGTCCAGCACTGCTTTCTTTTACCACAGTTACCCGGCTGTTTTCAGGTTGATTTATCATACAATTTAGGTTGATTAATGCTCTTGTGAATATACAGATCTGTTTGACTTGGTATGAATCTAGAAAAATAATATATTTATTTACTCATATTTTTATTTTGATGCACTAAAAACGTGCATGGCTCATTTGTCCACATGAGTAGAAAAAGGTATATTTTCTAATTGAAAACACGAAGGTAAATAGTGAAAGGATTGTAAAATGCTGCATCAGAAATGCAAGTAATATTAACTTCAAGTGTAAAAGATGATGTTATTAATCCTTCTAAAAGTCATCTCAAATTCTGTCTTTTCCTTAGAGTATTAATAAGATGAGGTAGGCCAAAGTTGTGCTCTTCTGGAGTGCAAATAGTAATTATCGCCTTTATTTCTTCTGAGTTATAGGAAAATTAAAAAATTTTTTTTCCTTAAACAAATACATACAAGAATCAATCTAAGCAGTTGAAATGCATTATATCTTTCTAGAAATGGTTTCATAACTGCAAAATCAATTATGGTCATTTTTAGCTTTTAAAAGGTATTCATTTCAGTACATTAATTTTCCTAGATCTAGATTGTTGTGTTATTCAGCATAATGTTGTCATCTCTGTCTCTGCAAGAACAACAATTAGATGAGACATAGAAAGCAAATATCAGGCTCAAAAATAGGAAATAGTTATTAATATTTCTTTGTTAGGCGTCTTAGCCATTGTCTGTACTCTTTTTCAGGAGTCTCCATTTTTATTTGATCTAGCCTTTTATCTTTTTTTGTTATTCCACAAATATGGATTTTTAAATTTTTATTAGTTTTCTAAGGTTATGTAATAGCAATTATATTCTTTAGTAATTACAAGGATTTTCTCTTCTATAATGACTTCATCACTTGGAGTTGTATTCTTTAGTGCTAAAATAATTCCATAATTGTTTTTCATGACTCTCAGTTCTTATAATGAAGCAAAAATTGCTTTGTGAGGGAAGATTATATTAAGAAGTATTCTAGGTGATTATTTTTAGTTGTCAGCCATGTTTCATACACTCAAATAATGTTTCCTGTATTGTCAGTGTCACTGTGACAGTAACATTTATTAATCAACAATAGTGGGGCATGGTGAACAGTCCAGTGCATTAAACTTATATTTAGATATTGCCATTCAAAACAACCATTTTAGAACTTTTTTTTGGTTACTGCTATAAGTAAATACAAAAAACCATATAACTAAATTTCCTGGTGGGAAATACCAGATTGATAAAAATTTCAAACTTGCTTGACTTTTCATTATTAGGTCATGAAGTCAAAAGATTTTTATTTAAAATAATTTCCGATATTTTCCTGAATTGTTCTTGTTTTAGCTTCTTCATGTGTTCAATAGTGTTTGGTCTCTGTCTAAAAGCATAAGCATAATAAACACATTTATTTGGTTTTTAAAGAAGATTTAGTGACAATATTAGAAACTGTAACTTCCTGGGTTTGATTCCTTGTTCTTTTTACTAAGCAGCTGTGTGAATTTGGGCAACTCTTTTAACCTCTCTTCATCCTAGTTTTTCTATAAAATAGAAAACAATTGTACATATTTTACAAAATTAGTATGCTTGTTAATATAAGACTCTGTAGATATGAACAGAAATTTCATTTAATGACAGGTTCAGTTTAATGAACCTGTCGTTATTTCTGAATAGTGGTAGTAGTGCAAGCAGATATTAGCTCTGTGAGTGAATGAATACATAATATGTAAGCCAGAGGCCGGAAGGATAAAGCTCACAGGAGAAGGAGAACTTGCAGTCTTACTTGGTGAAGTTCACTTAAACACATGTAATTATTTAATGTGCTCACACACAGTGAACGAGAAAATGTAAGCCTGTACTGTCTGAATTTATTAAATATAATTTTTATTATTTTGATTTTTCTCAGGCAGAAAAGGCTAGCTTGGTTCATTTATTGGATTTCCTAGGTCTGATTTTTCTTACGATGATTTGGGCCATTTGTCCTCGAGATAGTTTGGCACTTTTGGGCCAGTGGATACAGTCTAAACTGCAGGAGGTAAGTCTGAGACAAAAACTTGAAATTGCAATGGCTTGTGGTGAGGATATTTTAATATTACTGTAAAGAAAAAAACATCAGAAATCATCTCGTATTTTATCCTTATCATGAAACATGGGTACTATGTTTTAGTGTCTTAGATTTTCTCAATTTTAGGGGATACTCTTAATAATAGGCATTTAAATTAGAAAATACTACTTCTCTTATATGATGAAGATAGATGGGTAGGAAGGGCTCGGCAACTTTTGGCTAGCATGATTTTTTGGGCATATTTATTGTTTCCACAGAGAGGAAACCCAGTCACAACCCTTTCTTTCCTTTTGTTGTTTACCTTCAAACGTTCCTTTTGTCTCTCGTAGTGACAGTGGTGTACTCACTGGATGACACTTCCTTTCCCCAAATATTTACATTTTGATGGGGAACTTTTTTTTTGGAGGATAATTGCTTTGCAGTGTTGTGTTGGCCTCTCCCGTGCAGCCGCGTGAATCAGCCGTAATGATGCACATATCCTGTCCCTCTTGAGCCTCCCTCTCCCCTCCTCTGACCCCTCTAGGTCATCACAGAGCAGCAGGCTGGGCCCCTTATATTGTATAGCAGCTTCCTACCAGTTCTCTGTTTTACACATGGCAGTATATATGTGTCAGCGCCACTTTCTCAATTCTTCCACCCTCTCCTTCCCCACCTGTATCCAGAGGTGCTTTTTCTGTCTTCATTCCTTTCCTGCAAATAGGTTCATCAGCACTCTGGGGAGCTCTTAAAACCTGTAAATTTTATGGGCAGAGGGTTGGCAGAAGCTGCCCAATTTCTCCCACCGCCTCGCCCTAGCTAAGCTAGTATTACCTGGTAAATATTGAAAGGACAGTTTTAATAGGTGTTTGTTAACTTTTGTTTTATGTATAATGATAGTCATCTGATAAAATTTATGGAGTCCTCCATCTTTCTCAAAACAGTACACCACGGAAAGGAGGTCTTGCAATCTTAATATTTGCTTTGTTAGCTGTGATTATTTTATTTTACATCTTTCATCAGATATTTCCTCTTGTCCTGGGAGTTTTGGTTATTTAGGAACAATCTGTTATTTGTGTATATTCAGTGATTTGTGGAGCACCCATCAGAGTGCCATCTGGGTGCTGTTTAAATCTAATCTGTAAAATTCTTTGAGACAAATTGCTTTGGAAATTGAATAACTAAATCTTTTATTCAGTGTTATTGAATCATTTGGTTTCAGTTTTATTGAAATAAAAGTTCTTAAAGGGAAAAAGAAAAAATGGTTATTGCTTAAGTTACAGAATCTCATATTTTGAATTTTATTTTTATTATTCATGTGCTGGGAAGTCAAAGAAGGTAATGCAGGTTTTCCACCATTTATCAGTAGATAGCATTTTATGTAATAGAAGATTAAGTTATAAGGAAGATAACTGGAAGCTGTTTCTCTGTTGAAATGCTTGATGATCCTGTTGCTTGAGTATAATTCTTTCATAATTACACTGAAACTCAAGTAAGGATTACTTCTGTTTGAACTTTTTTTTTTCCTCTATTTTTTTCCTCTGAATCAAGGCCCCCTCCCAATAATTTTGGTGGTGAGGAAATGCTTCTTTTTCTAGAAGTCTTGCTCATGGTGATTGGAGGGCAGAGGTGATTCCGATAGTGAAGTTATTGAGGGGGAAATGCTGACATTCTTTTGTCAGAGAAAGGAAGAGAGGAAGGAAGAAGGAGGGGCTCTCACTGAACCATTTGGTTATAGTGTAGCAGCCCTCATAGAGTGTTACCCATTAGGGTTTTGAGAGCTATTAGTAATAATTACAGTAGCTAACATTTATTGAGTACATACTATATGGTTGGCACCATGATAAATACTGTAAATTAATTTTGTACAGGGGCTAAGAATACAGGCTCTGATCAGATGGATCTGTGTTTGGACTTAATCTCTCTTAGATTTAAATTCTGTAGAGCTTCAGCAGATTGTTGCACTTGTTATAGGTCTCCATTTCTTTACCTGTAAGTTCGCTTAGTAGTGGTGGCCAACTCACAGCACTACTGAAGGCTTAACGATAACATTTAAAGCAGCACTTCTCAGTATAAGCACTATTCACGTTTTGAATTGACAAAGAATTGACAAGATAATTCTTTGTTGTGGGGAATTGTCCTCTGCATTGCACAAAGTTTAGTAGCCTCCACACATTTAGATGCCAGTAGCTCTCCCCACTTCTCCCCACCCCAGCTGCAGCTGAGACAGTCAAAAATACCACCAGACATTTCCAAATGTCCCCGAGGGATAAAAATCACGTCCTGTTGATAACCACTGGTTGAAAGCATTTAGCACAGTACCTGGTATAAGGTAAGGACTCAACAAATAGGAGTTATTACTTGCTCATTTTAACCCTCTCTGCAACTCTAGGAGTTTGGTACTATATGAAGTACTGCTATACTTTGCCACTATATGAAATCAATGCTTCATTTTACATATAATGCTATTGGGCTTATAAGGGTGGAAAAATACAGCCCAGAGGTAATAGTTAATAAGCACTCAGGCTTGAACATGTTTCTCTCCTTTTAACACCAGTGTTTTTCACCAGTTTATACTAGTTATACTATTAATGCCAGTCAATTTGTGGGGACACCTGTAGACTGCTTGTGGTGAGTGAAGCAATCTAAAACAGACATGATGGAGAAGGAAGCAAGTCATATCTAATGGTCATGTACTGTGGACTAGATTGATTTAGTTATTTCGAGCCATCACTGACAGGTAATTAATTGCTTCCCCAGTTAATAGCTCTTTTCTCAAAAAGTCCTGCCTATCGATCCATCTTCTACAAAGTTTTAGTACTTACTGAAAATTAGTATTTAACTGGAAAGCATTCACATAAATACAAGTAATTAGGGAAATTAAAGTTACAATATCTATTTGTATTTTTTATTGAAGTTGGAAGAAGAGTTCATTTTCCTAACTAATCAATACTTAGAAAACAAAGAAGAAATTAAGATAATACATCATAGAAAGAACATTGTGCTATATGGTTAATTTTCTAACTGAAATAAATCTCCTAGTAGTGTCACTGGCTACTATATAGCTGCAGTTTTTCAATTTTCTTTTAAGACTGAAAGATCAGAATGTTTCTTGGCCATAATAAAAAAAACCTATATCAATTAACTTTCTCAGATAGTAAGTGGAGATTATAATCAGAAAAAAATAAAAGGACTCTGTATGATACTGTGGACTCTTCAAAAATTTGTAGGCCTAGTTTTTTCCTATTCGTTCCTTGTTTTTAAAATATTAATCTCTGATGGGGGAAATAAAGGGTGCATTGTTTTTACCATCGTGTGCTTTAAATGTTAATCATAGCATAAGAATTATGTCCTAGATAATCCATGAAATTTATTTAAAAAATATCATTTTGTTGCTGCTTTTTTTTTAAATGAAATAAATTGCCTTAATGGGACTTTTCTTTCTTATTTCTTAGTTTTTGTTTGATAGACCATATAGTAGAACGCTGGAGGCTGAAGCTGACAAAATTGGACTACAGCTTGCTGCCAAGGTAAAAAGTTTAGAAGTTGAAAATACACTATCTCCTTCATATAACAAAATATAATTGTATGTTGTCTTAATGAGGTTTGGCATGGGCGTAGAATGAGAGTTTGACTATATATAATTTTTCACTAGTACCTTTTTAAAAAATAATTTTATTTATTTATATTTGGCTGTTCTGGATCTTTTTTGCTGCATGGGCTTTTCTCTACCTGTGGCGACTGGGGGCCACTCTGTAGTTGCGGTGTGTGGGCTTCTCGTTGCAGTCGTTTCTCTTGTGGAACATGGGTTCTGGGGCACACAGGCTTCAGTAAATTGCCGCATGTGGACTCAGTAGTTGTGGTTCCTGGGCTCAAGAGCACTGGCTCAGAAGTTGCGGTGCGCAGGCTTAGTCGCTCTGTAGCATGGGGGGCAGGTCTTCTTCCTGGACCAGGGACCAAACCCGTCTCCTGCATGAGTAGGTGGATTCTTTACCACTGAGCCTCCAGGGGAGCCTTCATTAATATCTTTTTAAGTCTGTCCCCTCTGGAAGCTATTACTATCTTTATTTGACTCTTTTCCCTTGTTTTGCTGATCTAAGGAGGCTTTCTGAATAAGATGATGTGTAACTGTTTTTACCCACTTGGAAAAGGGTTTATCTTATTATAGCTACAATCTCAGCTGAACAAACTGAATTTTTACCATTTAAATAAATAATAGAAGAACAGTCTTATTACTTTGTATCTTTCATGTTATAATTTTTGTTAGGGCAGATGACTTATTTTTGCTAGCCACAGAGAGCAGCTCTGGGCTCTTATTCTGGTTTATATTGGATTGATTTGAAGCTACGTCATGCCTGGCTACTGTTTTTATCACCTGTGATAACTGTGTATTAGTAGGATTTAACATTAGAAGTAAAACTACATTTTTAAAAATTGGTGAAAACAGTGCCACTTCACATGTTAAATTCAAATTGTATTTGATTCTTTGTTGAGTTTTCAGTAGTTATCAGAAATCCTAACTATTGAAAGTCACTCTTACCCGAAATTTCTCATTATGAGTATTTAATTTCATAAATCGAGATAAAAATTCAAAGTTCAAAAAATTCAATAAATCCAAAAAAGCAGTGTTCTTTGAATGTTGCATAAGCATGATTAAATGAATTTTCAGACCTCATAGATTAAGAGGTTCCCAAATAGTGGGTCACAGATTGACTCTATCAAGAATTTCCCAATTTTAATGTACTATGGCCAGTGAAATTTTCCCTCTGGGTAAGTGCCGTCTGTATTCTGGTTCAGAAATCTTTGCTTATTTCAATAGATTGTTCCTGTTTTATTTCCAAGAAGTTTTCTTGTTTTGTTAAATATAAGGAAGAGGTCAAGATAATTTTTTCCCCATGTGGATATCTAATAGACTCAGCACTGATTTTTGAAGATATTCTTTTCTCCACTAAACTTCAATTTCTCTGTCATGAATGTGGGAGGCTATATGTAAGTCTGCTTCTGGACTCCCTGTTGTATTCCAGTGGTCTATTTTTTATCTTTGAGCCAATACCACCTTGTCATTATAACGGTATAATAAATTTTGAGATCTAATATCTTGATGTTCAAGCTGAAGCTCCAATACTTTAGCCACCTGATGTGAAGAGCCAACTCATTGGAAAATATACTGATGCTGGGAAAGATTGAAGGCAGGAGAAGGGGGGCAGCAAAGGATGAGGTTAGAAAGCATTACTGATTCAATGGACATAAATTTGAGCAAACTCTGGGAGGTAGTGGATGACAGAGGAGCCGGGCATGCTGCAGTCCATGGGGTCACTAAGAGTTGGACACGACTTAGCAACTAACAACAACAACATGCCCAGTAGTGGGGTTGCTGGATCACATGGTGGATTTTGGAGAAGAAAATGGCAACCCACTCCAGTATTCTTGCCTGGGAAATCCTATGGACAGAGGAGCTTGGCAGGCCACAGTCCATGGGGTTGCAAGAGTAGGACACGACTTCGCGACTAAACCACCATGGTGGTTTTAGCGTAATTTGTTAAGGATCTCCATACTGTTCTTCACAATGACTGTATCAGTTTACATTCCCACAGCAGTGCAGAGTATGGTTCCCTTTTCTCCTCACCGTCTCCAGCATTTATTGTTTGTAGTTTTTTTGATATTGGCTGTTATGATTGGTGTGAGACATTGCCTCATAGTAGTTTTGATTTTCATTTTTCTAATAGTAATGTCAAACATATTTTTATGTGCTTCTTGGCCATCCCTGTGTCTTCTTTGGAGAAATGTCTGATTTCTAAGTTTTGACTCTCTAGTCCTGATAGACAGTCAAAGGCTCTTCTCAGTCACCTCGTTCTGCTTGGATTTCTTTTGATTTTCACATATATTCTTAGTCTTTTGCTCATCACTGCTTAAAATTTAATAAGATTTGCTGGTTGGAATTGTGAAACAGAGGATCAGAGTCCCTGTAGTGAGCTTTCCTTCTTTCTGGGATTTTGGCTTTTCTAGTCTTGGTTGACTTGGTAACTCTCCAGTACCTTTGAACAAGTATTATTTATGTTTTATCCAGATTTTCTAATTAGTTTGGATGGAAACATTGGTCTGCTATAATAAGCTACTTGACTCCATCACTGTTAGGAGACGAAGTCCCTAATGTAGTCTTTTAAATAGCTGTCTAATAGTCTGTAATTTGGATAACTCATTTAACTATATGCTTATTGATGAACTTCTGGAGGTACTTCTAGTTGTTGCTATTGTTGTTGTTACTGTGTTTATTGCAATAATTCTGAAACTGGTGACCTTATACACATATCCTTCTGTTCTTCGGGCTTTTATAGGTTGGGGTTGCTGGCATTTCAATTTTTACTTTAAGAGATACTCTCAATTATTGCAGAATGTTACTAGCAAGTCTTACCAGTGACAAACCAGAACGCCTTTTTAAACTCCCCTCAACAGCACTGTTTTTAATCCTTTTTTTGTTAATTTGGACAAAAAAATGAGATCTCATTGCTTTTAAAACTTGAATTTTCTTGCTTAGCAGTAAAGCTGAGCATAGTGTTTTATTTTCATTGGCTCTTTTAAAATGATTTCTTTTTTTGTGGATTGCCTTTTATGTTTTGATGAGTATATTTTAAAAATACATATTCTAGGCTCCCCCCTTGGAAATTCAGAATCAGTAGCTAGGTGACCAAGATCTGAGTCTGAGTGTGTTTAGGAGCTGCAAGTGATTCTGATATTCAGGAAGATTTGGAAATTACTACTTTGAGTAATCAAATGTCAGTTTTGTGTTTTCAGGACACTTGGTAAGTTAAATTTCCTGTTTTATTTTTTTAAAAAAGAGGAATTAAACTAGAGAAGTTTTTAAAGAAATATTGATATTCCTTTGATTATTTATGATATGCAATCCATATGTATATATATATATTTTTTTCCATTTATTTTTATTAGTTGGAGGTTAATTACTTTACAGTATTGTAGTGGTTTTTGTCATACATTGACATGAATCAGCCATGGATTTACATGTATTCCCCATCCTGATCCCCCCTGCCACCTCCCTCTCTACCTATTTTAAAGAATGTATCTGGGTAGATAAAATTATGATTTCATTTTCTTTGTGTTGTGGACTAGTGACCTTTTACCAGTTGTCATATTATGGTTTATTTAGTTCAAAGGAGAAAACAGTATTGCAGCAGATGTTAAGTCATGAATCCATAGTGATAAAGTAATATCTTTATTATGGAGCACTTAGGACATAAAAATGCCATCTCTGAATACAAGTATTTCTTTTCCTGCCAAAGGTAGAAATAAGTATGAAAACCTCAATTGTGTTTATACTACCACTTTATTCTGTGTCACCTTTATAGATAGTAACACCATTATTTTCCATTTAATATTTATTATATTTTTATACTTTGTTTAGCATTTTATATGATCAGATTGATCATATTCTTTGCAGCCAAAGGTGCAGAAGCTCTATACAGTCAGCAAAAACAAGATCATGAGCTGACTGTGGCTCAGATCATGAACTCCTTATTGCCAAATTCAGACTTAAATTGAAGAAGTAGGGAAAACCACTAGACCACTCAGGTATGAGCTAATTAAATCCCTTACCATAATGCAGTGAAAGTGACAAATAGATTCAAGGGATTAGATCTGATAGAGTGACTGAAGAACTATGGATGGAGGTTCGTGACATTGTATAGGAGGCAGTGATCAAGACCATCCCCAAGAAAAAGAAATGCAAAGAGGCAAAATGGCTGGCTGAGGAGGCCTTACAAATAGCTGTGAAAAGAAGAGAAGTGAAAGGCAAAGGAGAAATGGAAAGATACTCCCATCTGAATGCAGAGTTCCCAAGAATAGCAAGCAGAGATAAGAAAGCCTTCCTCAGCAATCAATGCAAAGAAATAGAGGAAAACAATGGAATGGGAAAGACTAGAGATCTCTTCAAGAAAATTAGAGATACCAAGGGAACATTTCATGCAAAGATGGGTTCGATAAAGGACAGAAATGGTATGGACCTAATAGAAGCAGAAGATATTAACAAGAGGTGGCAAGAATACACAGAAGAACTATGCAAAAAAGATCATCATGACACAGATAATCATGATGGTGTGATCACTCACCTAGAGCCAGACATCTTGGAATGCGAAGTCAAGTGGGCCTTAGTAAGCATCACTACAAACAGAGCTAGTGAAGGTGATGGAATTCCAGTTGAGCTATTTCAGATCCTAAAAGATAATGCTGTGAAAGTGCTGCACTCAATATGCCAGCAAATTTGGAAAACTCAGCAGTGGCCACAGGACTGGAAAAGGTCAGATTTCATTCCAATTCCAAAGAAAGACAATACCAAAGAATGTTCAAAGTACTGCACAATTGCACTCATCTCACATGCTAGCAAAGTAATGCTAAAAGTTCTCCAAGCCAGGCTTCAACAGTATGTGAACTGTGAACTTCCAGATGTTCAAACTGGATTTAGAAAAGGCGGAGGAACCTGATATCAAATTGCCAACATCCGTTGGATCATCAAAAAAAC